TGACCACCTACTGCAAATATACTGTGGCAGAGCAGCTTCCCTGTACCAGGTCGTGTACACGATCCGGCTCTTCCGGGTAGGGGGAAAACGTGCACACATGTGCTGTCCCGATTGTGCTGTCATTTGCTACAGCACATGCCGATCAGTGGGTCCCAGCCATAAATCATTGGTCGGGACCGGCTGATCAGCATGCCCAATTTTCTACAAAGGTGGATATCTTGATGTAACTGAGAATGATATTAACTACTTGGTAACCACCTACTGCAAATATAGAGCAGCTGCCCTGTACCAGGTCATGTACATGATCCGGCACTTCCAGGTAAGGCGCGCGCATGTGCTGCTCCAACTGTGCTGTCATTTGCTGCAGCACATGCCAATCAGCAGGTCCCGGCCATAAATCAGTGGCCGGGACCCGCTGATCAGCATGCCCAATTTTCTACAAAGGTGGATATCTTGATGTAACTGAGAATGATATTAACTACTTGGTGACCACCTACTGCAAATATAGAGCAGTTGCCCTGTACCAGGTCATGTACATGATCCGGCACTTCCAGGTAAGGGGCGCATGTGCGCGCATGTGCTGCTCCAACTGTGCTGTCATTTGCTGCAGCACATGCCGATCAGCAGGTCCCGGCCATAAATCATCACTGGCCGGGACCTGCTGATCAGCATGCCCAATTTTCTACGAAGGTGGATATCTTGATGTGACTGAGAATGATATTAACTACTTGGTAACCACCTACCGCAAATATACTGTGGCAGGTATATGATCCAGCTCTTCCAGGTAGGGGGCGCACATGCGCGCAGGTGCTGCCCCAGCTGTGCTGTTATTTGCTACAGCACATGCCGATCAGCGGGTCCTGGCCAATGATTTATGGCCGGGACCCACTGATCGGTGGAACAAACGACAGGAGAGAGCTCTTTGTTGGTAAACAACACAGGGGTCTCTATTGACAGTACCGTTTTTTTTTCTCCCTGTAAAGCAGAGAGTCAAAACTGGCACATTGCTTTGTGAAAACACCACACAGTAAACACATTATAGATTGTTAGGCACACAGATAACCCTTTGATTGCCCTTAGATGTGAACCCCTTCCCAGCCAGTGTTCTTAGTACAGTGACAGTGATCATTGTATTAGTGTCACTGGAGATGTCAGTTAGTCAGTTCCCACCCAGTGTCAGATAGTGTCAGATTGTCCGCCGCACTATCCTAGTACCACTATAAGTTGCTGATCACCGCCATTACTAATGTTAAAGAAAGAAAGAAAAATTCCAGTATATATTCCATAGTTTGTAGATACTAAAACTACTGCTGGGGCAAGATCATCTAGAGCCCTGGGGCCCAGGGCAAACAATTGCTGAATTGCACCCCCCCCCAAGATATATGAGCATTAAGTGTCAGCAAAAATTCCCTCTCCCCGCAAAAAAATCAAGAACTAATCTGTATTTTACCCCCTAAGCAAAAAATCCCCCTCCTCCCAGTACAAATCTGCCCCTTGCTGAAATCCCCTTCCCAGCACAAATATTTGCCCCCCCCTCCCAACCCCCCAGTTCAAATCCTCTCATTCCCCATATGCCCCAGCACAAATCCATCCCCCCCTGAAAAAAGTTCCTGCCTCCTAGTACAAATCCCCTACCCCTCAAATTTGACTTCTGAGCACAAATCCTTCCCTGCCCACTCCAAATCCCTGCTCCCAGCACAAATTCTCCCCAATCCCCCATCCTAACACAAATCCACCCAAATTTCCCCTCCTAGCACAAATACCCCCAATCATCCCTGCTACACCAACCCCCCCCCCCCCCAAAAAAAAACAAAAAACTTCCCTACTTGCACAAATCCCACCCCCCAACCTCCTTTTGGTGCCCTCCTACCTCACATGATAGCCGTCCCTCCTGCCCACCCCTTGTCCTTGCCCTGGCTATAACTTTTCATGCAATACCATATTACCTTCTCTAGCACAAACCCCCCAAAATTTCCCCTCCTAGCACAAATATTTTGACCCTATTCCCTCTCCCAACATAAAACCCCTCAAATCACCAGTCCTAGCACACCTCTCCAAAATTCCCCTCCTTGAACAATTCTTATCCCCTACTGCCCTCCAAATCCCCCCTAACACAAATCCCACCCCCCAACCTCTTTTTGGTGCTCCCCCCACCTCACATGATACCACAGTGCCCATGGCAGCTGCCCCTCCTGCCCACCCCTTGTCCCGGCCCTAACCATAACATTCACACAAACTCAATATACACTTATTGAGATCTTTTTTCACTAAACACATGTAGCAAATACATTTTGACCTTAAATGTATGAAGAAATTTTAATTGGATATGTTCTATAGTAGAAAAAAAAATTCCACAAAATGTTAAGTCCTTTTTTGTTTATATAATAATAAATAAAAAAAAAAAATTTTCAGGAGATCAATGGTGGAGAAGGATCTGGGGGTTCTGGTAGATCACAAGCTTAATAATGGCATGGCTGCAGCTTCTAAAGCAAGCAAAATCCTCTCTGTATTAGGAGAGGTATAGACTCCACAGAGAGAGATAATACCCCCCCCCCCCCCCCCCCCCCGATACAAATCATTAGTTATACCTCATCTGGAATATGCAGTTCAGTTTTGTGCACCAATTCACAAAAAGAACATTGGGGAACTGGAGAAAGTGCAGAGAAGGGAAACCAAACTGATAAGAGGCATGCAGGAGATCAGCTATGAGGAAAGATTAGAGGAACTGAATTTATTCTCTCTTGAGAAGAGGAGATTAAGGGGGGGTATGATCTCCATGTATAATACATAAGGGGATATGATCTCCATGTATAATACATAAGGGGGGATATGGTCTCCATGTATAATACATAAGGGGGGATATGATCTCCATGTATAATACATAAGGGGGGATATGGTCTCCATGTATAATACATAAGGGGGGGATATGATCTCCATGTATAATACATAAGGGGGGATATGATCTCCATGTATAATACATAAGGGGGGATATGATCTCCATGTATAATACTTAAGGGGGATATGATCACCATGTATAATACATAAGGGGGGATATGATCTCCATGTATAATACATAAGGGGGATATGATCACCATGTATAATACATAAGGGGGGGATATGATCACCATGTATATAATACATAAGGGGGGATATGATCTCCATGTATAATACATAAGGGGGATATGATCACCAGGTATAATACATAAGGGGGGATATGATCACCAGGTATAATACATAAGGGGGGATATGATCTCCATGTATAATACATAAGGGTGGATATGATCACCATGTATAATACATAAGGGGGGATATGATCACCAGGTATAATACATAAGGGGGGATATGATCTCCATGTATAATACATAAGGGGGATATGATCACCATGTATAATACATAAGGGGGGGGGGGGGATATGATCTCCATGTATAATACATAAGGGGGATATGATCACCATGTATAATACATAAGGGGGGATATGATCTCCATGTATAATACATAAGGGGGGGGGGATATGATCTCCATGTATAATACATAAGGGGGGATATGATCTCCATGTATAATACATAAGGGGGGATATGATCACCATGTATAATACATAAGGGGGGATATGATCTCCATGTATAATACATAAGGGGGTATATGATCTCCATGTATAATACATAAGGAGGAATATGATCTCCATGTATAATACATAAGGGGGGATATGATCTCCATGTATAATACATAAGGGGGGATATGATCTCCATGTATAATACATAAGGGGGGATATGATCTCCATGTATAATACATAAGGGGGGATATGATCTCCATGTATAATACATCAGTGGCTCATATAGTGAACTTGGTGTAGAGTTATTCCCCCTGAGGTCATCACAGAGGACAAGGGGCACACTTTACATCTGGAGGAAAAAGAAAATTTAATTTCCAAACACGGAAAGGTTTCTTCACAGTGAGAGGAGGGAAAATGTGGAATAGACTCCCTCAAGAATTGGTTGTGGCCAGCTCAATGGATTGCTGTAGGAAAGTCCTGGATCCTTTCTTAGATACACAGAATATAACTGGATATACCATTTATAGGTAAAGTAGATCCAGGGAATATCCCTCGGGGGATCAGGAAGGAATTTTTTCCCTGCAGGAGCAAATTGGATCATACTTTGCTGGGTTTTTTTTGCCTTCCTCTGGATCTGGTGTAGGATTATAACTTTTTTATTTTTTATGGTTGAATTGGATGGACTTTTGTCTTTTTTCAGCCAGACTAACTATGTAACTATGAAATTAGAATGATTTTTTTTTATCCTTTGGACCCTTGGAATTTCTCTATTTTGAGACCACATAAATATTCATGATGATTTAATGGCATTACTAAGTGCTTACATGCTTACATGACTTTGCAAAAAGATGTTATTAGAACAAAGTTTTTGTTCTTTGGAACCTTGGAATGTTTCTGAGAGTCGACCATGCTCTGAGCACACATAGCTATTCATGCTTTGCTGTTTTTTTGCCTTCCTCTGGATCATCTGTGGGTATAGGATTATAACTTTTTTTTTTACTGGTTGAACTGGCTGGACTTTTAATCTTTTTTCAGCCAGACTAACTTTGTAAGTGGTGATCAAATACCACCAAAAGAAAGCTCTATTTGTGTACCCAGTTTCATTGGGGTACAGCTTTGCATGACCAAGCAATTACCAGGTAAAGTAGCGTAGTGCTGAATCGCAAAAAATGGCCTGGTCGTGAAGAGGGTAAAATCCTCCGGAACTCAAGTGGTTAATAGATTCCAGGTTGTTTGTGGATCCCTCACCAAGCCTATAAATACTCTCCAAAGATTATGTAGTAGAGTCCTCTTTCTCTTCTCTCTGCAGAATGCCGGATAGTGAAGAGCATGACCCTACCGTCCGGATCGGTGCCGATGAAGCTGGTCAGCCTGGAGGAAGCCCAGGCCAGGAGTCTCTCCGCCACCCACCCTTGCTGCCCGAAAGGAGAGGCGGGAAAACAGCCTACCCGAGATTGTACCAGTCAGCGGGACCTTATTCCACACGGTCATCGATCTGCCAGAGAACAAGTAAGTTTCAGGAGTGTAGAACAATGAGACCTCTAACAATAATTGTTCACTAGAGGTGAGAAAACTTCTGAACAGTTGCATCAGATGTGGGTCAAAGGAATTTTAAAAAAAAATGTTGCAAACCTGTTATCTAGTGGTGCACTCTTGGACCGAAATGAAGATATATATATATATATATATATATATATATATATACACACACATACATATATATTTTTATATATTTTTTCCATATAATTGTATTATATTCAACTTTTTAATTAGTATCAAGAATTTTAATGGAGATATATACAGTGGGGATCAAAAGTTTGGGCACCCCAGCTAAAAAAATTTTGTATTAATGTGCATAAAGAAGCCAATCTCAATCATCGTCTGGGAAGACCAGGTGATGTCAATCTCAAAGGTTTTAAATGCCCAGACTCATCTGACCTTGCCCCAACAATCAGCACCATGGGTTCTTTCTAAGCAGTTGTCTAGAAAACTGAAACTGAAAATAGTTGACGCTCACAAAGCTGGAGAAGGCTATAAGAAGATAGCAAAGCGTTTTCAGATGTCAATATCCTCTGTTCGGAATGTAATTAAGAAATGGCAGTCATCAGGAACAGTGGAAGTTAAAGCAAGATCTGGAAGACCAGGAAAAATATCAGACAGAACAGCTCGCAGGATTGTGAGAAAAACAATTCAAAACCCACGTTTGACTGCACGATCCCTCCAGAAAGATCTGGCAGACACTGGAGTTGTGGTACACTATTCCACTATAAAGACATACTTGTCTTTATAGTGGAATAGTGTATAGGTTAGGAATAGGTTTTCAATTATGTTGACCTCAACATAATTGAAAATCTATGGATAGACCTTAAAAGAGCCGTGCGTGACAGACAGCCCAGAAATCTCAAAGAACTGGAAGACTTTTGTAAGGAAGAATGGGCAAAGATACCTCAAACAAGAATTGAAAGACTCTTGGCTGGCTACAAAAAGCGTTTACAAGCTGTGATACTTGCCAAAGGGGGCAGTACAAGATATTAACTCTGCAGGGTGCCCAAACTTTTGCAGACGCCATTTTTTTTGTTTTCTGTTATTTTGAAAGTGTAAATGATGGAAATAAAATCTAACTTTTGTTGACATATTATAAGAATGTCTAATCTGTAATTTGATGCCTTTTGGAGATTTTTCCATCTTTCCTTGGCTTCTTTATGCACATTAATACAAATTTTTAGCTGGGGTGCCCAAACTTTCGATCCCCACTGTATATATATATATATATAATATATATATATATATATATACACACAAAGACACACATATATATACACACACATATATATATACACACACACATACATATATATATATTTTTTTTTTTATTTTTTTTTCCACATATAATTGTTTCATACTCGGCTTTTTAATTAGTATCAAGAATTTAAATGAATATGATATATATAAATATATATATATATATATATATATATATACACACACATATATATATATATATATATTTTTCCATATATAATTGTATTATATTTGACTTTTTAATTAGTATCAATCATTTAAATGAATATGATATATATATATATATATATATATATGTACACACTGTATATATATATACACACACACACATATATATATATTTTTTTTTTTTTCATATATAAATTGTATTATATTCGACTTTTAAATTAGTATCAAGAATTTAAATGGATATGAATTTATTTTCAGCACCTTTTCGCCCACTTGGCTGCTTTCACACTGAGCAGTTTTTACATTTAAAAAAAAAGGCACAAGAAAAGCTCAAGAAAAATGCATCTGTTTAAATTCAGTGTCTTCACATTGGTCCGTTGCGCTTCCCTTGCGGTGTGAAAAATCCTGCTTTCCGCATTTTTTGGTGCATATTTGGCAAGTTAAAAAAAAAAAAAAAGCACAAAAAACTCACCTCCCCATTGAGGCCTGGTTCATACCAATGCGTTTTTTTTTAGGGCTTTTTGCAGAAACGCACTACAGTCCATTTAACATGGTTTTCTTATGGGACACATCCACATCTATGTTTTTTTGAGCTGCTGCGTTTTTGGAAAGGGTCAGGGACTTTTTTAAACGCAAAACATTGCGTTTTTTGGTTCAATAGACTTCAATGGAGATGCTGCAGAAAAACGCATGTAGTACCTTTTTGATGCATTTTGCATTTTTAATTTGCCCAGCAATTAGTTGTCCAAAAAATTTTCAAAAACGCAAAATGCATTGAAAACACTAAGATAACACTGCAAAAATGGACCAAACGCAAACTGCATTGGTAGGAACTAACCCTGAAATGCATTTAAAATGCATCAAAAACACTCAAGTGTTGCGTTTTTGATGCATTTAATCTGCCCCGCAACAAGTTCGGCAAAAAAAAATTAAAAAAGCAAACCGCATCAAAAAATGCATCAAAAACGCGCATGCAAAAAAAACGCAAAATGCACTGCAAAAGGCAGTGCAAACAGACAAAACGCAAGCTGCATTGGTGTGAACCAGGCCTGAAATGCATTAAAGAAGCATAAAAAACGCACACGTGTTGCATTTTTGATGCGTTTTGAATCTTCCCAACATCAAGTTGGCTAAAAAAAAACCCATTAAAGAAACACAAAATACATAAAAAAATCATAAAAAAATGTGCGTGCAAAAACACTAAAAAAAAAAGCACTGCAAAATGGCCAAATCGCAAACTGCATTGGTGTGAACTAGCCCTGAAATGCATTGAAAATGCATGAAAAACGCTTATGTGTTGCGTTTTTTTATGCATTTGCGTTTTGAATCTGCCCCACAAAAGTTGGCAAAAAACATTTAAAAAAAAGCAAAACGCATCAAAAATGCACATGCAAAAACACAAAACACATTGCAAAAAGCACTGCAAATGGACGCAAACGGCATTGGTGTGAAACAGGCCTGCAATGCATTGAAAACCCATCAAAAACGCACACGTGTTGCATGTTGATGCTTTTTTTAGTCACATGACCTCTGAAAAACTCACTCTAAACGTGGTAAAATCACGGGTAAAATCGCGCCCCATTATCAGTACCATTTTTTCCTTTTCAGCCGATACATTTTGGCCGCCGATATATCGGTGCATCCTTACTAATAATCCATTGAGGTCATTGCAACCCCATACTCCCAAAACGTGTGTATTACAGAGCGGAAAATGTTGGATGGTTCAGGAAGCCCTGCCCTGTTAATCAGCGTCATTTGATCTCTGTACAGTAGAGCTCAGAGTGGGGGAGGATGAAGCAGCACAAATAGGACATCTTTGGTTCCGCAGTGCTCATATGCTAACAAGGGACATGCTGATAGAAGGAGAGATCAAAGCAGGGTTCACACATTGCCCCTTCATCAAGTCCTGACTATTATGTACCTTAAACCAGTGTTTTTTCAACCTTTTTTGTGCAAAGGCACACTTTTTTCATGAAAAAAATCACGAGGCACACCACCATTAGAAAATGTTAAAAAAATTTACCTCTGTGCCTATATTGACTATATATAAAGTAATTCTCTTGAATAGGAATCAAACACAAAGAAATTATTTTATAATTACTTTATTATGAAATAATAAAGTATTTTATAATTGGACCCGGGGGCCGGACCAAGAGTAGATGAATGATGTGTATGTGTCATCCATAGTAAGTATAGTAATATTCCCCCATAGTAAGCATAGTAATTAATCCCCCATATAGTAATTCATCCCCCATAGTAATTCATCCTCCATATAGTAATTCATCCCCCATAGTAATTCATCCCCCATAGTAATTAATCCCCCATATAGTAATTCATCCCCCATAGTAATTCATCCCCCATAGTAATTAATCCCCCATATAGTAATTCATCCCCCATAGTAATTCATCCCCCATATAGTAATTCATCCCCCATAGTAATTCATCCCCCATAGTAATTCATCCCCCATATAGTAATTAATCCCCCATAGTAATTCATCCCCCATATAGTAATTCATCCCCCATAGTAATTCATCCCCCATAGTAATTCACCCCCCATATAGTAATTCATCCCCCCCTATAGTAATTCATCCCCCCCTATAGTAATTCATCATCCCCATATAGTAATTCATCCCCCATATAGTAATTCATCCCCCATAGTAATTCATCCCCCCTATAGTAATTAATCCCCCATATAGTAATTCATCCCCCATAGTAATTCATCCCCCCTATAGTAATTCATCCCCCATAGTAATTCATCCCCCATATAGTAATTCATCCCCCATAGTAATTCATCCCCCATATTAATTCATCCCCCATATTAAGTCCCCAAGCCCCCCCTGTGTCAATTCACTTACCTTTGCTCCGCGCGTTCCTCTCGCCGTTCTGGTGTAGCATGAAAATCTGTCTCCTATGAGGATCTGTCCCCCTCGACGTATCTGCGCATGTGCCAGTTTCAGGCATTAGCAGCCGATCAGCGATCTCCGGCACATGCGCAGATACGTCGAGGGGGACAGATCATCCTGACAGTATCACGCTCCGCGGGCCGGATTAAAAGGTCCGCCGGGCCGTAGTTTGCCCATTGCTGTTCTAATGATTGGTCTATTTGTGAGCCGAGGCCACATGTTATGGATGAAATTGCAATTTTTCCCACGGCACACCAGACAATATCTCACAGCACACTAGTGTGCCGCGGCACAGTGGTTGAAAAACGCTGCCTTAAACAATACCTGGACTCTGTAGAATAAATGATCCAACGCGTTTCAGGGTTCACACAATTCCCAGTCATCAGTGCTTGACCAGTATGTAACTTCAGCAATGCCTGGACGTAGTAGAATAAAAGATCCAATGTGTTTCAGGGTTTACAACGATGCATTTCGGGGTTCACACCCCCTATCAGGACTGAATTATTATGTAACTTCAACAATACCTTGACTCAGTGGAATAAAATATCCAACGCGTTTCAGGTTCACCCACTCCCCATCATCATGGCTGGACTAATATGTAACTTCAGCAACACCTGGACTCTATAGAATAAAACAA